GGGTCCACGACTGAAGATGTACAAGTGATCGTCTTAGGGGGGAAATTTTAGGGACTTTATCTAGTAATATAACTTGTTCTGTCTCTGTATTTTCCAATACACTTGATAAGATAGCGGAATATGCGACGCGTCTTATTGCTGTTATCAATGTTATACCACTGCTTGAATCAGTAAACAGCAATTGTATGGGGTGCCTCTCAGCCTTTTTGTACATAAACATCACAATCGAGGCGTTCCACAACACTATCAATGTTAAGGATGTAGTATACGTAGTAATTTTTTGACTAAATCTTCAAAGTTTAGTGCAATTAATATACGATTATTTATTATAAATTAAATTACAGCACTTTGCGTTTTTGCGATAAGAAGTAGCGAAAGTTGACCTTACGAAGATCTGTGTTTATTCTAGCTTGCTAATGCCTGTAGGGAAACGTTGGAACATGCACCCTTGATGGCCATTCCCATTCTAGGAAGCCACCTGCTGCAAACACTTCACTAGTGACAAAAAAAATTAAAACTTAACCGTTGAAATGAATTCCGATATCCAGATCAACTATATGAAGTTTAATGAAGTTTAATGAAGAAAATTTTTTTCTCATTTTTCCGTAATGCAATGCTGTAGTATAATGCTCAGTTGCAATAGAGGATGTCGTAACTCTAGAATTACATGATCAGTGAGCCATGGATACTATTATGGTGTGAATAGCATTCGATTCAGTATGAGGATGCTGTACACGTGCGGCAGAAGCTCATTCAAAAAATAAAACCTTGGAATTATGTTTCAAACGTATGTCAATATGGTTCAAGTTTTCATCAATGGCACTTTGAAAACGTAATGAGGGAAATTAACTCATGCAAAGTGGTTGCACAGCGTCATCTTTGGTCTCATACAACTTGCCAAATGATTATTTTTATCCATTCTAGAACTGCTCTTGCGCAGATATCTAGAAGAAAGTTTCGTATGCCTTTTGCATCTTCCTTCAAAACAACAGCAATTTTCACAGGCTAGAGTTTGACTTCAAAGCTTTTCTTTTTTTCCTTTTCTCCTCTTTAAAAATTACAGGAGGGAGGAACACAAGGCTAGACTGCACGAAGAGGATGGATTTCGGCTGTTGCCTTCATGGTCATATATAGTGGCCGGAATTTTCATAGTGTCATATTCAATATAACTTGCCGCTGGAATGTATCCAACTACACGATTGGGGAATATATACCGACACCTCTGTTCCTTCGACAAGCCCGTCCTCGAGTTTTGTATCGATCGTTATCCAATTGGGTGATGTCGGATTAAAGGCAAGGTATGAGCCAGGGACTGCACAGTCACGCCTGTGCTAGTGGCGAAATCTCAAGAAACTGACTTACTTCAAACAATTTTTTTTTCAAACAAAATATGATAAATGACATTTAAGAGGCGTGCAAGTAAATTCTATTCAACTTCACTGTAAGTGTTGCTATCTTTCTATCTATGATGGCGCAGCGAGCAATCGTTCGGCAAATATTGATAATCTAGCGGGAAACGTTGCTTAAGCGCTTCCGCTACTAATCACAGTTGTACATCTACACATGTTATACAAAGATACGAAAAGAGCGGCATCATGACCAA